TTATTAAATGTAGCTACAGAGATAGCTAACATTTTGAAGGCTTCAAAACAGCTGATCAACAGTACTTAATAGAGTCATGAAGGAAATATAAAGCAAATGGGAGAAAACTTTTTTATTGATGAAGACATCCTTAAAGCCTGTACGACTGTACTTGAACTTACTAAAGCTTAGAGCAGTATGCCATCAAGTAACTGGGAGAGTAACATAATTGATTCAGTGAGTCCTAAAGATAGAAAAATATTATGTGATAATCAGAGACACAATAGACGTAAGCGTTTAAAATTCAATACGGTGGGTAACTGTATAAATTATATCATACTTCAAATTACTCTTTAGTAAACAGCTATACGTCTTAGTAAATAAAGAGACGACGGTACAATCTTTGGAAATGATTTCGCTAATAAAGAAAACCGTATTTATTGAATTTATTTGATTTCCTCCAGTGCATGATTTTATAAAAAAAATCAATTGTATTAGTGTATCATTCACATGACAAGCTAATTAGCTACACAGTATATCAGTCAGGCATGAATAAAAGAGAAACTAGTGTAACTGCTCAGGCGTACAATTTTACACAGTTTAGAGTTATATAGAAACAGTAAAAACGAAAATAAAGGGATACATTGCATCACGCAAGAATGCATGAACTGAAAGAAATAACAAACTAGGAATATGAGACTAAAATTGGTTAGTGGGCATCACCTAGTGTATGTGTCTGTTCCTAAATGCTTATACAGATTCATCAGTGGGATATCCCATGTGGTCACTAAGCTAAGTGACACTATGCTGCTGTGTGCTTCCTCGAATCCTAACTGGCATTAGAAGTTAACAATTGCTTGAATAGATACACTGCTATATCTACGAATTTTATTGGTAGGTCCTTATCAGATATTTGTATCTGGAATCCCTGGGAAACTGATGCCTTTGGTGGGTTCAGATATCTGTCAGAGACTTCGAGAACGAGTGATTCATTTTCGAATCTTCAGAAGAATGAGCTACTTTGAAAGGACAGAAATGTCCTGCTGATGACTGTCAGCAGGTACAAGGATGAAGCTGAAAAGGGCTTGCTACGGACTCATCCTAATTGCTTATCTGTTTAACATTCAAAATAAGGATAAAGGTAGAATAGGAAGGGTTTGCGCTGCTGTAAATAACTGCGGATTGGTTTCCTAAACCACTTAAAGACTAATTTTGTTTACTGAGGTAGCTAAAGAAAAGATGTATTCATGCTGTATTTCGTTCTAATTACTAGAAGTTCTTCAATTTTACTCCATTTCATTTTAACGTAATTCACTCAATTAAGCTTTCGTTTTCACACCCATTCCAGTCATTAAAGGTACATGTCCTTATGAACTAACTTATGGACTTCATTCGATACTTTACTTCCAACGATCCCTACTCCTAAACCAACAACCCTACTGTTTGCAAGTGAAATTATGTGAAATAGTCAAGTATCTGTAGCTTCAGCGAATTGCTTCCTGCCAATAAATATGTTTCCCCACTATGTAGTTGAACGAACCTTGCACAGTATATTTGACATCTACCATACAAGGATGATTTTGTGGAGTATTTAAGATACGCTGATAGAAGTCAAGTGAATTTTGTATATCATTACAGAAAATTTCTTACCCAGATTTCTCTTAAGAATAGTTCACATTTGTAACATATCAAGACACCAACCATTCATACAGCTGAGATAGATAGAATTCTATGGCCTGAAATCAGAAAGTAGTCATGCTAATATAACTCATAAATCTAAATTCAGCGACTGCCGATACTTGGATTACAAAGAGGCAAATGTTTTTCTATGGAGTTCTTGAGATGTTAGGAACGGACAGCCACAAAATCTCTGTGAAGTGGTACAAAATCGAACAAGTTAGCTAACGCTACTTTAATCCGCATCATTTTTATGATTAGGGACATTTATACAGTTCTTTTTTGTGTCATTTTTGTTCAGTTTGAAATCATTTTACATGTGTTTACTTAGTCTATGTATACCTTCTGGTAAACGTAAACAGCTACAACTAATTAATTTCAATGAAAACTACTTAAATGGTATTTTTGTTTATCTCTTTAAAGTAAATAATGCCCACACGCACATTGATGGAGACTAGTTGTGAAACGAGAGATGATAAAAACCAAAAATAGGCATCATTGACAAACAATAGTCACTTAAACGGACAAACTAACATTGACTCCAACGCCTGTATTAACAGTCCAATAAGGGTTTTCTTAGTACACTGACATTTATAAATACCTATTTTTATTCAAAATTGACGCCTAAAATCGTCTCTGCGTTTGTTTTCTTATGCCACCCTGATGCCAAGAAATTATGTTCATTTTCAGCTACCCCGACTGAACATGATAACAGAAATCTGGCGGATAAGCAGAGATTCTAATAGAACTAATTCTCCTCGTTTTAATGTCCACAGGCGTAACCTGTTAGGCGACTATGATCCAAAGAAACTATGTTGGCCAATCAAATCTTCCTTATGATATTCCGATATTTCAGTCTTTTCGTGTTCAGGAAAACAAAAGAAGCAATTATAACTAGGATGAAACAGCTGTCCAGTACTCTCAGGTTTTCCAGTGGTGTCAGATCATGATGAAATTCCTCATGCAGTAAAATAAAATCCCTACAAAAAACCAATACTTGAAAATTAATCTGATGCTCACTAGCGACTGGCCCTATTCAGGCAGTTAACCTGAGGTTCTAGTGGGAAGCCATAACCAACAGGGTACAGCAGGTTGAAGATGAGGCAGTAACTCATCGAAGAGGACATTACGAAGTGGTCGCGCTATGACGTGAATTGGCAGAATTCAGAATTCCAGGATCATTGGATCGGGTCCCAGTGGTTCAGTGGTCTACGAACTCGCTAGTCATGTAACCAAAAGGTCCTGGGTTCGAGCCGTGGCGGTGGATGCGTGCTAATGAAGAGTCCGAAACTAGGACGAAACAGCTGTCCAGTACTCCTAGGTTTTCCAGTGGTTCTCTAAGTGATGTCAGCTCATGATGAAATTCTCCATGCAATTATATTTGTCTCTTATATTACATCAAATCCTTGAGGGAATCTAGAGTAAAATAATTTTTATTTTCATTTGTATCTAATAAGGAATCTCTATTTCTTCTCCATTTCATTGATAACCTTCTCAGCTTTTACCTAGCTTAGGGACTTATTTTAGATATTATATCAATAATTTAACAAGATAACTGGGAGTTTTTTTATCGAGACTTAATTATCTTCCACTTAACGTAGTGCACATACTGTCTCGAATAAAATATTTTTTGAAGATAATAATAATGTGTAGTTTGGTATATCGTGATTAGTAGTGGATGTCATGATGCGTATTTCATCCTCTCGGGGACACATCATCTAGGTGTTCCACGCATTCCCACTGAGGGTGGTATTCTCAAAAAGACTGAAACCTAACACCCATAGTTTTAAATGTGAAAGCTTTATCCACTAAGTCACCTGTATCATGAGAGCCACCGCTTGTGCAACAGGTATCAGTTATTATTTATTTAACTTTCTCCTTCCTGTTGACTGATTGGACAGAAATATTCGGCCTCTGTTGACATGTCTAACATTTTGGTCCAATCAGTCAACAGGGAGGCAAAAATGACTGAAAGGTATAACATTGATTTTTGATGTTTAATTTCTATTTGGTTAAATATGTAAGCAAATTATTAAATCACGTTGGTGTCATATAATTTAAACAGCAAAACCAAAGTGTTTAAAATTAACTCTTGAAATATTTACAATCCACTGCCACGAAACAGTTATTCAGTGAAATTAATTCAGAAAGGGGAAACGCGGTTGATCAATTATAATAATAATAATAAAATAGTTCAAAATGACTGACTTACTTCATTCATATTCATTATCAGTAACCTTATCTGACAAATTTCTTTTCTGGTCAAATAAATGGATATTTTTGTTAACATTCTCATCTAGTTTAAGCTTAGGCCTGATAACTGAGAATTTTCTATTCAACTGTGTAAAACCAGATATGCAGAATTATACTTTCATATTTAATTTAACAGAGAAGGAACAATAATGCTTAACTTACTAATATATATATATATATATATATATATATATATATATATAAGTTTTAGTAGATTGATCTTAAAATAGATTAAGTATAAAAACATGATTTCCTCTAACTCAGAACACAAATAATTAAATGTATGCCTTTATCTCAAATAAAGTAATGTATATGTAGACAAATTTACTAGCTTATGGTGACCGATGTATTTTTCTCAGTCTAAAGTATGTCAGTCAAAGTCCAACGATGAAGAAATCAATTAGATCACTAACCTAAATGACGTGACAATGATTTGAATTAGACAACGTTTGATATGTTTTATTATTGTTAGATAGAACCGAAGTAGGCACAAAAATGGCTACGGTATATACTAAAAGACATGCTACTGCAATCGATTGACATATCGTTTAAGTTTTTCTGTAGAGATAAATATTTATTATATCGTAGATTTATTTAGCTGTACAGTCGATATTTACTGTGACTTCATCATAACAATAAATACGATCGAAATTTCTTACACACTGTGGAACTGTTGTGAAGAAACACATTGTAACTTTTAAATAATGAATGCTGAAAATAAGATAAGTTACCGACTATTTTAAAATAATTTTTTATATTAGGAAATCTGTCTTCTACAAAATGACAAATAAAAATGCTTTGATACAACAAAGAAAAGTGGTGCTATAAAACAGTGATATTAAAAAAGAAGTTAAAATATTTGGATTTTAGAGAAAAATAAAGCGCTAGAAACCTATAAGTTAGAAAACATATGAACTGTTTATGGATACATAATCGTGTTACAAAATCTTCTTCCCTGAAGGGTTCACAACCAAAAAATGATTTGATAAAAGTTAAAAAATATCATTTCGAAGAACAAAATACAAAGTTGTTGTAAGGGCATATAAAAATACAAAACGTCATACATACACAAAATATTACAGTTAAAATAGTTAACCTGTAAAGTCATTGCTTATAAACTTCTCTATATCATATAGTTCTGCATGTACTTTACGACCAGCAAAATATCTTCCATTCAATGCTGTAATAGCTCTATTTGTTGACTCTAAATCACTGAAGACAACAAATATCTTGACAGTGAACTCTCCAGTTTTACTGCGTTCTTGATGTATTGAAACTTTCTCTACTGATCCATAACTGGAGCATTCCTCAGTTACTTCCAGTTCTAAATCTTCATCACACTCTCCTGGTTCAACCATATTTCTTAGTAACATAACACTAGAAAAACAAGATATACGGATATTTTATATTTCACAGCACATACATATAAATTTATATGTGAAAAAAACTACTCATGCAGAATTAATTTCATTACATCAGTATTAAGTTCAGTGTTTAGTATAAAATGAGTAGATGGTGATTTTCCTAAGTATAATAAAGTGGATCTTTAACACAACATATATCAAGCCTACAGAATAATTAAAAAACATTTTCCCAAATATCTCTGCATTTTACATGTAAATGTATCTCCTACCCATAGAAAAGTTGCTCTTTATTCTAAAGTTTACACTTGTATTGGCTACAATTACGATTATTCAAATAACCATATTTTTAAGTACCTAATTTTTCACAATTTGAAAATTGTTTAGCGATTTGCTATCTAATCAGTTCGTCTGGTGAAATTTCACCATAGTTTCCTTTGAAAACTAGGATTATTCAAATCATAATACATGATCTGCTTGATAACATAAATGCTAAGTCAGGAAAGCGAGTGCATTTGCATAAAATTATGTACTACTGATTGACTGGTTAAGATGAGATGTTGCATATCACTCCTATAAAACATTAGTGCTTGCTAGCATAGTACATTGGTAAATATAATGATTATTTAACAGTCAAGTCTAATTGTAGTCCAGAAGAAATTACGTGGCTGACAGACAGTTGAACGGATGTTTATATATATATATATATATTCAAGTATTGGTTTTGTAGGGATTTTGATTGATTGGTTGGAGGATTTCGTCATGAGCTGACATCAGTTAGATGACACTCACTAGCGACTTGCCCTATCCAGGCAGTTAACCTGGGGTTCTAGCGGGGAGCCGTGACCAGTAGGGTACAGCAGGTTGAAAGTGAGGAAATTTACTCATCGAAGAAGACATTACGAAGTGGTCGCGCTATGACGTGAATTGGCAGAAGTTAGAATTCAAGGATCATTTGATCGGGTCCCAGTGGCTCAGTGGTCTACGAGCTCGCTAGCCATGTGACCAAAAGGTGTTGGTTTCGAACCGTGGCGGTGGGTGCGTACTGATGAAGAGTCCCAAACTGTGACGAAACGGTTGTCTAGTACTCCCAGGTTTTTCAGTGGTTCTCTAGCCGATGTCAGCTCATGATGAAATCCTCCAGCCAATATACATATATATCAGATATCCGCATGTAATATATACATGGATTTAGTCACGACGGTTCAACCCAATATATACCACCTGAGAGGACACTAAAAGCCAGAGAGACACTATCGACCAAGGAATAATTAAAGACCAAGGACTACCAGTCAATCGCCTCATCTTTGTTAGAATCTCCAGTAGTGCAAACACATGAAACGACACAGAGGTAACATCGAGAGTATCAGTTTCTGTGGATATTACGTGTTAATTCAATCACTTTGATCTTTCAACTAATGTTGACGTATGAGATAGTACAATGATTATCCAATAACATCGGTGAGTAATAGTCCTTAGCAGACAATAAAGACCGCAACTTTTTATTAAGCCTTTAGGAAATCTATCTGAAAGCTATTCGCTAATGAGCAATTGACTGATGTTAGCTTAGTTGGTTTGTGAGTAGTGGACTAAAGAATCATGAACTAAAACGAAATAACTGTCCACCATTTCTTAATTTGCAATGAATATTAAGCTTAATTTGGCTAGAGATAAATTTCATTGTAAAATGACTGGAATTTCAACAAACCTTAAGACCAAACTCTATGATGGGCTAAATTTCTAATGAAAAATTTAGGATTAAAACAATTCCTTTCTTAGCACAATTTATATGTCGCATTATTAATATCAGCTTATCGTTGCCTGCAAAAAATGTTCTAACATCTGGGTCTGCCTCTTTCTTCGAAAAGCGGGCTTAAAGGTGAAGAGTAAGATCGCTTATTGTTTACTATCCATCAATTCATATACTTGAACTTTAATTCTACCAGCCACATTGATGTCAAATGTCTATGCTGAATAACTGCATCATGTCATTGTAAAGCATGGTGAGAAATTATCGAAAATGCGTATTTGCTTAATTTGTGTTCTCCATCAAAATAATAAATGGTTTCATTGTATTCCCAGTAGTTGATAAAGCTTGTCACACGTTCTGTCAATTTAGTTTAAGTTATTTAAAATTAAAATTAATCCTATGCATTATACAAAAGCATCTACTAGTGAACTTGTTAAGTATATTTAACAATATGTGAAGTTAATAAAGCAAGATAATTTAGTTACTTTTAAAGTAAAATTTTTCGACATTCGTGTTCCTATTTCTTTGATAACAAACAGGTTTATTGGTATACCTCTATCAGATTCAGGGTTATTATTTACTGAGAATAAAAAAGATGTTCTTTTTCATTTCGCCTACAAATACTCAAATTTGGTGGGAAAAAACTATATTGATTCGAAACAGTATTAACAATCAGCATAATCTTCATGAATGTACTTCGATGGATAGATTTAGGAAATATTTCCGTCGATGCACATGTTAATGGTAGATATAACCAATTTAATTCGAGTAATAGGCTTAATACAATAAAAAATAACACTTTTAACACAATGCATAAAGTCGATTTTACAAATAACACAAGACAGAAACACTAATTTGAATATTGTCATCAGGTGTAGTAAGCAGGAAATCAGTCAGTGTTAAGTGATACAAGTGGGGCCACACAAGGCCATTAGTAAGAGAGAAAGAGAATTTTTGACTTATTTTAAGGATAAGGCTAATATAGGAACAATATAAGAAAACCTTTTCACGTATTATTCTTCAATACAATATAGCTCCATTAAAAACCTTGTTATTGAAGTTTTTAAGCCACATATCAACTTCTTTAACACTCGAAAGTAACGGAATGAATTTAAGTATACTTTCATAACTGGGACAAATTTGAGTAAACAAGAACAGTTAGTAGTAATTTCTAAGCTTCTGATACAATGAAAGCATACTGGCAACAAAGTGTTTCGAAAAATGTCGTGTGTCATGAGTCACAGAAGTTAGGCACACCTTGCATTTTCACAGATCATCTAAAACCTGATATAGATTATGAATTAAAAAGCTTAGTACCCGTCATATTTCTAACTTTGGAAGTACAACACTATTACTTCCACGCTAGTATATAAAGTCTTTTGAAACAGTGTGCATCGGTGGCACAGTGGTTAGGAATCTCACCGACCATGCACATGGTCCGCGTTCGATCCTCTGCTGACGCACACCTGATATATATGGTCGGCCTGCAAAATTTGGGCTACCGATATCACATACTGAAAATTCCATACTTATACCAAAAATACAGTGTGGAATCAAACTGTAATAAAAAAACTTGGCCTCTGACCCTTAGCAGTTAGAATATGAAGAAAGCGAAATGTATTATCACAGTGGAAATGCTTACCTGAAATACTAAGTATAACAAGAAGCGAGTTTTCAGTATTGCTTTGTTTTATGAACACCGGAAGTAATCTAATCGATTCCTTACAGTTTTGAAAACATAACTAGTGACTTTGCTTTAAATTGTGCAAAATGAGAAATAAGGCCTAAAACTGGTACAGTTGAAATACAAGCTTAATTAGTGTTTCTGTTTATGTTTCCGAACTATACGCAGGAATTATTGTTTAGCTGTAGATGTCACTCAGAAGTGTATTTAGAAACTTGACCATTAGTTGGCTTTATCTAAATCCACCTCCTACTTAACACTAGAAATAAACTGTGTAGTTATGCAATTTTTTATTTGTCATCGTTACTTTTCCACCAGTGTTAATCTGTATGCTGAGTGATAAAGTAATATATCTAAGCCCAGTAAATTCGACTTTTCTTATTATCTGGTTACAAAACCTCTTCACAGTTGGTGTCTGCTAGCTTATACCATTTTTGACGCCAACTAGATGCCCAGTTGTCTAGAGAAGATTACTACTAATGAGGAGTAATTCATCCCGTCCTGACTGTAAGACATAACAGCTGGAAACAAAAGTTATGAAAAAACAAAAAGTTATCCACCACTGACATCATTCCACTCCTCGTGTGCAGTAGAATCATACCGTATAGAAAGTTCATGTTACATTTATAGTTTTAGGTAGGAAATAATAATAATTGGAAGCAGTATTATTTTAAGAAGGATTAGGCTAGATATATTTAAGGGTGGCTGCATTATAATATAGCATCAATTCATGAGATTGTCACCATGAGAGTGTAGTTTGTGTTGCTGGCGTCCCTGAGATAATAAAGGGTACCGGTTGGAGACCCTCGGTAACATGAAAAAAGTCGTTTAGAATAGTATAGACTTATTTGTCTATTTTGCAGCTTCACCATTTGCTTTCCGAAAATTTTTTTCAAGAAATCTCACCGCCTGTTTGATTTTCTTACTTCACTTTAGAGTCAACAGAAGGTGAATCAATCCTTCCTTTACTTCAGTAACAACAGTACCATTTTTTGATTCATTCGACTGACTTCGGCCATTAGTGGTTATGGCAGTACTTTTATGATTCTAAGTAACTTAATCACCTTTATGATTTTTTCCTTCATATAATCCGTGTGCTATTTTCTATTTCTGACCTGGAGTACTGGTGCTGTGGTTTGCATTAGTTCCTCTAAATAGACGGTATTCTTCTTTTACCACCTTTTACCTCTCCAAGAACTTACAAAAAATGCTCTGTCATCACAGTTACCGTCTTTTTTAGAAAGTAAGGCATTCAAATTCCAGATGAACACAAATAAAGCAGAGTTCTTTTATTTGTGCTAAGCAATGGGTTTTTTTCATGAACATTCCGCATGGAACTAATATTAAAACTTAACAATGACCCTGTTTTGTCTTTTAGTTAATTTATATTTATAAATATTATTATTATATTATTATAAATATTCATATTTATAAAGCTAACTCAACAACCTAAACATATACTGGCGTTGGTAACAAACAGTAAATTTCCACGATTTAACAAAACAATAAACTAAGCTGAAATGCCTGTTATATTTTATGAAACAATCACTGTTAAAGTAAGTAAGTGATGTTGCAACAGTCACTCATTCTGTGTCAAATGTTTTGTTAAAGTCGAATATTTCTATACTAAAGAACGAAGAATTTTTATTTCAATTATCCAAAAAGTTAACTAGTGAAACCAACGAAAATAGAGGGACATTTCCACGTCTGGATGATGCAAAAAAGCTAATTCTGGTGGAAAATAACTTTTTTGAATAAACTACTTTAACAAGAAGATCTTATAGATATGACAGTTGTAACTAACGTTTAGCGTCTTTCTTTACAAGTAGAACATATACATAAACGTAGCGGAATTGCTTTAAAGTAAACGTGTACTTACTTTTGTGGAACACGAGACAACTTTTGCATCATCACTTTTCGAGCTTCTTTTCCTTTGATGAACAAATCGTCTTGACTGTCGAGTGCGAATTCGTCGTCGTCTTTAGCTTTTGTAGTAAAGGAATCAGAAACCTCACTTATATCCTGTGTGCCGTCTGATTTCAATAGAGAAAGTGAAACAGAAAAGTAAAAGGACATGTACCATAAAAAAGCTATAATTGATCATAAATAAACAATGAATTTTTAAAACGTCAGAATTAACAAGTAATTATTAAAATGTCTCACAGCAATCAAGATGGGACATTTTTTTGATGATAAAAGATTTGATTTTAATGTATTGTCACAACAGAAAGTCAAAGCAACATACCAAAAACCAACAGTCTGTGATAGACCTCTTTTGGCTTAAAGAAGTAAACACTTTCATTTTAGTTTACGCTCAGACAGTTGATAAAAATGCCAAGAGTAATTTCTAGGGACGAGAAGTTGCACAAAACGGATTTCGAACAATTACACAATTAAACCAAACTGTTATTAGAGTAAACAGCTGTTAATGACATCGGTTACGGTTAGTATACTTATGTACATATAATACTCCTTAAAAATACTGAAGTAATTATAATTTGTAAAAAGTCTAGTGTTACCCACTCACGTGTATTTAACTTTTCTGACGGATTTGTGGATGGTGTCTAAAATACAGTGAGACAGAATGACAATTTTTTCAGCAAGGTAAAATCTTGTTCCCCAAAAGCATTTGCTAGCAGAACTAAATGTTGTGTATACTGCGTAATACATTGAGTTATTACGCTTCTTGTTTCAGTATAGGATTAAACAAGTAGGTTTCCAGCGGCTGTGGTGTTTCATTTATAACTAAAACTTCTATTCGAGAATAAGGAACAAAATATAAAGGACCATTGTATCACTAGTACACAAGTTCTCCGATTACGTTTAGCTCTTTCCTACATCAGTCTTACTTTAGCCTCTTCGTTCAGTAAAGCGGCAGCCCGAAGTGGCTAACACATATACCAGACACTTAAGTTCACTAAGATCCACAACCCATAGATTCGCCTTTGTTACCTAATGCTCTGCATGTTTCTTCAACATATTTTTAACATGTTGAAACACCTAACATGAAAGAAGGCAACTTCGTCTGAAAACTTGTACTGTTTTTATGTTCTCTGTGTTAAGTATTTGACAAACATTCGTGAAATAGGACAGAGCAGACTTTTGTGCAGCACCAGTGCATAGACCGGCAGTCGCATACTGTGTCAAAGTTAAATTAGGAACATATTAAAAAACCTTTAACAAGCCCTTTCATCTGTGTCTGATTTTCCCCAGAAGTTAGTCCTTTAGGGCTAAGGTAATACCAAAAATACACAAAATCAGAAAACCCTTTGATAAATTCACAAGCAGTCCTTAGAATTAGGATTCCTTTCATCGTCACTCTGCACCTGAAAGGGGAGAACGCTAAATCAAAAATATCCATAAAATATCTGCTGATATGTCTAAAATTGTAATCATTCTCATATAGCTTATGCAACTACCAGTCACTAATCCATCATTTACATTAGATGAACACCAATTATTGCTAACAGGCAAAATCATTGAATCAGACGTTATCAGAATAGAGTTCTGAAGCTTGTCGTAAACCATTCATCAGTAAGTACAAGGATAGAGTAAGTGGGTGAACAAGCTGCCTCAGCGTGTTGTATACTAGGTTGTTTTGAAATTTTATCATTTTACTAAGCTCCTCAGATGGATGCGACACTAAATTGTTGCCTACAAGATCAGGTAAAGCAATATTGCACTCACGTTTTAGCAAAAAGCTATAGTCACATAGAGCAGCGTTAAAACTAGTAGTATCCAACTCTTTACTGACTAGCAGGCTACTATATTTTCCCGTCAGATGAAAAAAACTGAGTCTATAAGGGACAGAATAGATGACTACATGGTATATATACAAATATATTTATATAAACCACTGATATCTAAGGAATATTTAGACCATAGATTAAGTTTACAAATTTTAAGTTCAATAACAAACACAAAAACGAGTGTTAAAAGCAAAAGAAAGTCGAACTGTCATTCTGAGCTTTGAAAAATATTTTATGATGGTCTTGACTTACTGCCTTGTTTCTGGAGTTTTCCGCCTCCATAGCATTAAGTTTAGCTGTAACTGAAGCAGCAGCTAATGCGGCAGCAGAAGGTATCTTAGATACAATATTTATTTCCTCTGGAGGGGAAATGGCCTTGCATACACGAAGATACTGTCCCCCAAGGTCAAACATATTCATGTTGGCGATAGCATCGATAGCAGATTGAACTGATTCATATTCGATGAACCCGAATCCGAGGTGCTTTTGTAATTTAGATGGGTCAGGGTTCAGTCTACAATATTAGGCTCATTTTCTTGAAAAAGCATACTTGCATAATGATATTTTTCCAAATGCTTCAAATACAAGAGATACGTCATCTTCATTCAAATCTTTATGAACTCCTGAAACATATATTTTCTTTTCAAGTCCATTTTCCTTTATAAGGTCCTCAATAAGTGAATCTGCGTTTAATAAATTGCTAGGTCGACCGACTTTTAGCTGTCGACCTCCCAAGCTGATGCTATTTGTGCTTTGTGAAGCTAGGAATGCTGCTTCTGGATGCTCAAATTCTACGAAGGCAAACCCCTTGTGCTTAAGGTTAAGAGAATCCCAACTAAGATTAACGGATCGAACGAGTCCAAAAGGTGAAAAGACCTTTTTGATCGCATCCTCGCGCAAATCATAGCTAATAGAACCTACATATATACGGTTTAAAAGACTCAGAGTTTGCGCCCGTTTGGCGATGTAACTAGGATTTAGATGTTTTTGTAAGGACTGTTTCTCCAAAGCTGCTTTGATACTCTGTTCAATAGCAAACTTTTTAGCTTTCTCTAAGGCACTTTTCTGATCTTCATCCAAAATAGGTAATTTAAAAGGAAAATCATTTTCAACAGCACCTGGTCCAAGGAACACAGGACCTAACTGATCATACCTCATTTTAATCAAACTTAATAAGGCTGCTGGTGGTATTGGCGTATTCAGGACAGCATTGCTTCCGAGTCTTAACATATTTGTAGCTGACAAGTTAGCATTAGACAAGATATTTGTATTCACGATCTTAAATTTAAATTATTAATAACGGATTATTACCGATGAAATGTTCATGTGTTAGTATATTAATCTAATTCTTTTAACTTCGAAAACTGCTGAAAGCGAAGTTAAGCAATACTTGAAAACATATATTTATTTTGTTTAGCCTCTTAAAACATATACGCTGTATTTTCAAAACTGATTCCGTAAAACAATACAAGTACTGACAAACTCCATAGTTGAAATAAACTGCTAACCGTATTACACATCTAATTTTCCATAATTATTTAACAGATCTGGAATGCCCTAGTACTACATAAAATATTCTTTAGCACGGTTCAACCATGAGAAGATTAATTCTGCTGATAAGTACGGAAAATCCCGTGCGGTAGTCCAGAATTCTGAACAGTGACATTTTGATTTCTTATGCTTATATCTACATCAGGTTTCTACCTCCATATATGCCAGTTTATCAAGTAAAAGTATGCCTCTAATAAACAAACTAATAGGACAGAAACCTATTGTCTCATTTAATTAGATGTTGATATAAGTCGATGAAATTGCTATGTTATTGCATAGCGCACAGTTTTATCGGTATTCGCGAACTTTGAACAGTGAGATTAAGTCTGTAGTGGAAAAAGGTTCCCCAGACTTGCCAGCTTATAGCTTTCACAATTCAACATTTGGAAAAACTCCAAAAACGGTTCCCATCTTTGCTGTCGTATTATATGAATTCCGACGGTTGCTGTTCGGTCTTCAGTATGCATTCTAAACATTCAAACACCTTGACTATTACGTATTTAGTGACCTAGACTTAGTAACCACGTGCGTGGACTACGGCGTTATTGCAAGACTACATAAGGAAACCTACCTCCAGTATACGAACTTAGCTTTCGATACTATTTTTACACTAAAAATTCGAGTGTAAAATAACAGTAGGGTTCATAGTTATCCTTGAGCAGTTCATTAACCGTAGGAGCATCCACCCACTTCACAGTCCGCCGTTGGCAACTTTTAACTCTCCACAGCAAAAAAAGCCATTAAACCTATTCATACCTAATGACCGGATAAATTGTTACTGAAGGTTCATTCTCAACTGGACCGGTTTTATGCAGGTTCTGCTAAATCTTCCCGGAGACACCAAAAATGTAAATCTTGACGATTCCATCACTAAAGATCTTACCAAGGATAAGAAAGAGGTTGTGTATGGAACCTTGCCAATACATAACAAAACAACGGCACCAATAGTCTTCACATTTGACTCAGTCCTGCGTCAGCTGGTTACTAGTGGTTGGCAACCGTTTGTCTTTTTCTCGAAGAAACAATGTACGATAACTTTTCAGTGAGCTCCTGGATGCCATTCTCGTATCTATCGCTCCACGTAGAAGTGCGTCAGACCTTGTGAAACAGGCTCATTAGCCAAAAAAGATAGTGAACCTCAACATCAGCTGTCGATAACCACTCGGGAATTACAAGAAGGACTTTATGAATCGGTAAGAAGAATAATGTTCTCGGTAACAGCTCAGTGAAGGATCTCTACAGAAAGATGTTGCAATGGTACCAACAGCTGAGCAGAATCATTTCACCAATGGAATGTACATATGATGAATATATTATTTGACTGCGTGGAGAATTTCATTATAAGCTGACGTCAGTTAGAGAACCACTGGAAAACCTGGGAGTACTAGGCAGCTGTTTCGTCTTCGTTTAGGACTCTTCAGCAATACACTGGCTCACTGGTCTACGAGCTCACTAGCATTGAAACCAGATTGTCTTTGGTTCGAACCTCGGTTGGTGCGTACTGATGAGGCGCCCCAAACTAGGACGAAACAGCTGTTCAGTACTCCGAGGTTTTCCATTGGTCCTCTAACTGATCTCAGCTCATGGTGAAATCCTCCATGTTATCAAACAAAGGACCTACAAATCCAAAACTTGATAATATATTAATAACACACCCCGTTCAGCCCTGCGTTACTTTTAGAATTCTATTCTGAAATCATAGGCGTACGCATTTATTATGCCAATAACCGTAGACACACTTTAGATTCCAAACTGAATCCACCTTTCATTACATGAAAATAGTTTGATGGTCATTCGCGGAAACAGTGAATATTATTTCATAGACAGCGATTAGTACTTCGTATTTTGCAGAAGTATGGAGAGGTAATGGGGGCCTTCTTGAAAACTTAAACGAAAAGATTGATTTTTCTTCCATATAAGGCCACATTTCAGCGCAGTGGTTGGTTTGAAAATGAAAAATCGATTTCAGGGCTTCGTACGAACAACTTTGTGAGAAGCAGATGTATTGAAAGGATACTTGCAGACACAGTGCATGACGATGTCTTATGGAATTTCTACAGAGACTGTATAGGGAACCAACGAAATTTATCCATTCAACTGAATCTGAGCGTTTCGATATCAATTGTCGATTTGTTCATCTGTGTTGACCAGAATGAACCGTGGATGGGTGGATTTTCAAGGAGCAAGAGCGTGGTGAGAGCTGGCTACTAGCCAAAACTGGTAGACAGTATTTTACGTCAATGTTTATGTGTCCAATATTGGTCGCGAGGAAAATATAAACAAAGACTGATTCGACAACCAACCACAGCAGATTTGGCGTAGGCGGATACAGTTAGTATATAGATGATCTAACATTCAAGAAACAGCCACTAAGAGATGTGCTTTTCTGCTAACAATAATCTATAATAGTGTACACGAAAATCTATAAATATGTGTTGATTTCCTTAATAAACGATCTGTTGCTTGGCCCTTGTCTTCTGTTGTTACAGTATGATTGTCCATTCCCGTATTCTTTTCACACCATTTTAAACATACACATCTTTGAACAGTCATGAGGCTTATATACCCCCTTCTGCAGTTTGGGCGATGCTAAGACCAGCCTGGAAACTAGGTTAGGTGGGTCAGGCTAAAGAGTCGGCAGGTGGTGTTGCTGGAGTTCAGGTTTAACAGGATAGACAGGCACGCAACAATTATGAGTTATTCCAGGTCGAAGCCAATTAGAGACGATCTTGAAGTCGTTCAAGCAGTGCAACTAACAAGTTTCCTGGAATAAGTGAGCCTAACATGATTTATGTAGACTCAGCCCCATCTTGTTCAAAAGCTTGCCATGTTATACCATCACTTTTTCTTCTGCCACGTCAGTGATTCAGGCTACCCTTTCAGAAGGCTATTTCCAATCATTTCGGTAAAAGCAGGCAGGCCCATATAATCAGAGCGCTGTCAGGTCATAAATACACTAGAACAACGGGAAATAACCCAGGCGAGTTTGGATATGTTTTGATTGTTTTTATCTGCAATCTTTAAGCCGTCATAGTAGGTTTTGTTCTAGCATTCGTTCCAATTGTCACTTAACATTTCAGTGTATGATTTTATAAATTTTATGATACAGTGGGTGCGTTGAGGCCAATCTTATCGTCTTATTTTCACTCAACATGAGCTAGTTTTCTAAAACAAGGAGGATAGTGGCCATAGTTATCGTAACATGCTAACATGGAAAAGCAGGCTGTGCTCATGTAACCATGTTTGATTGTAGCTTTAAATTAACGTCAGGTTAGATCACAACGTTGGAACATACAGCATTAACTCCGCACTAGGATACTGTTTATTATGTTGCTAAATATGTATGGTTGCTATCCATGTTCGTAAAACAACTTTCATCGTCTATCCTAGTTCTCCATTCATCATAGCTAATGAAGTCATTCCTTATTTGTAAAATTGTATTTATATGCATTTTAGGCGTCTATCTCAATCATATATTAAATAATTCAATGGGTAAGCGACTGATGTGACACTTATAACGTAGCAAGCTTATTTTTTAGGGGTTGGTCTTTGTTGTGGATATATCAGATGTATTGTTTTGTATCTACGTCTGATTATATCCACATTTCAGTCCATTCATCTGGGTTGTAGTTCTACCCAATAAGTGCTTCAGTCATGGAACGTCCCATCAACTAGTTCAGCACCAGTAACTACGCCGGTGATATAGATTACCATAGGTGTTGTCATACAGAAACAATCACATGATTTGGTGGTTACTCCTCACTGGACAGCCGTGCACATTCGCTTTTGGCAATTGTTGACAGTTTTATCACTACCCCTGGTTGCTCAATGAAGTAAGTTACTGTGGCCAACCCAAATGCTTCATGAATGATTGCTAGCTATGAAAAAGTTCCACGAGAAGAAGTTCCTATACCATGTCAATGTAGCTGAAGATCGAACGATCAATTCATGGTTGCTTGCTCAACCCAAATGCCTTATATTTTCGCGGAGGCATCACTGCACCAGTCATCGTCTCATCGGTCGCTGTTCAAAAAGCACGCAAAATACCGTCGGAAGTAATATCGTGATTTATTGTTGTAATAATTGTTCATAGATCTTCGTTATTATGCTGCTCATATATAGGCGTTAGAATACAGAATTCTCGAGTCGCCAGTCGGTGTTTTGATTTTTGCGTCCGTTAGTTCTAAGCGTTTCTCAAAGGCTTCGAGGGATAGCGAGAGACTCGGCCTAGCAAGTGCTGGGCAATAACGGCTTTTGAGACGTGATTGACGTACCCTTTTGTCAGTTTCACAGTGGTATGGCAACCTAATCATTGAGTCTTATGACTACGCAGCCCATGAGTAGAGGGAAACTTCCGCATGCTGATCAACCTGCCGCGCCCATCCTAACACTGGTAACCACGACAAGAGCGGATCATGGACATAAGTTATGAGTTTTTTCCTTTACGGTTTTGACCCATATTGTAACAACTCATCCGTCGGCATAGCAAATTTAAAAACCACATTATTTCTCATTCACTATCCCTCAGTTCAATGTTCTCACATAAAGTCAACACGACCAGCCTGTCAAAAAGGCGAAACCATATTATGTGCTGCATGCTCCATGCTGTTGTTTGTATCCTACATTTACTTCATTTGCAGAAGCAACCTCAAAGGCTGACTTGGAAGTTATCCAGGATGGTTAACCATTATGCAGCTACTGTTGTGTACTGCAGAAAAACGAGCATAATTCACTTCGCAACTACCCAAAATAACTGGTGTCTACAATATATGTTG